GAGGGGGAGGGGGAGGGAGGGGAGTGGGACATTGTTGTTAGTGTTGGTGTTGTGGTAGTTGTTGGTAGGTGTAGTGGAGGTTGAGATTTCTGGTGTTGTCAAGGGATTGTCATGCTGAAGAGGGTGCTGGGGATGGTGTTTATATGGAGTTGTTGAACAATCGCGGGAGTTTTTTGGAGAACAATATTAATTGCGATCCAATGCGGAGGAGCTCCGCCGGGTGGGCTTCTGATTGGTGGGTTGTGGGTACTTTGTACTGGTGGTAATGTGATGGGTCGCTGCGCGCGAGGAAAAGTTGACTTATTCTACGAGAGATAGTTGATGTGTCTTATGAAGATTGTATGGGAAGAGTTGATAGATGATAATTTGGAGAGATTGTCATTTAGATTGGAGGGATTGTTTGTTATACTGGGTATTGGAGAGTTGTGCTTCCTGCAGAGTGCCAGGTATGGCTGGCGATGCGGCGAGTAACTTGGGTTATCTTCAGACGGCTTGCAGTCATAATCACTGTATTTATGGTCCATATCATCAGGTGCTTTGTATATATCAGTGATGATGTAGATTCCCCATCGATGCTAGGCAAGTGTAATCAGAATAGTAGGAGTCTACTAAGATCCCTCATCCACTTGACGGCCCGCAGAGCTGTGCTCGGACTAAACTCCGGATTCACCCCGCCTTGATAACGCAACAAAGGAATCACTTTCCGACTGTCCCATTCAAAATACAACCATGGATCTGCAAGAGAATCGAGAACGCATGCGCCGCGGCGAGCTCTATCATGCGTTCGTCTCCGATCTTACAGCCGATCGAGCGCGTTGCGCCAGTGCCTGTCGCCGTTTCAACAATGCGGGTGACGTGTCCCGTCGACAGTCCCTGGAGTTGTGGAAGGAGTAAGTGAATACAATCAAATCGATGTCCCCACGCCGGAATACAACCACGGCAGGATCCACGCGGATGGAACAGTCTTCCACGGCATGGCGGATACAACCGGGCTGACAGGAACAGCATTGTGGGTGATACCACCCCTCTCCCGCCTGCCAGTCAGGATCCCGCCGAGGATGACAAGCTCTTAGAGAAGCATCCTTGGATCGAGCCTCCCATTCGCATGGACTACGGGTACAATGTGAAAGTGGGAGAAGGCGCCTTCATCAATTTTGACTGTGTCATTATCGACACCTGCTTGGTGACCATTGGGGCGCGCACTTTGTTCGGTCCCAAAGTTAGTCTTTATAGCGGCACGCACCCTCTTGATCCGGCTGTGCGCAACGGAACGGAAGGTCCAGAGTCGGGGAAAGAAATCCATATTGGTGAGGATTGCTGGCTCGCAGGGAATGTGACTGTGTTGCCGGGAGTGACGATCGGAAAAGGTGCGGTTATTGGAGCTGGAAGTGTGGTGACCAAGGTACGTTCGAGACTGCTTACCATTCTTGGGATCTTGTGTGAGGGTCAAAAATGGTCTTTGCTGATAAGGATGGTTGCCATGCTAGGATGTTCCCGCGTTTCACTTGGCCGTGGGGAACCCAGCGAGAGTGATTCGCAAGATTGAAACCTCGATGAAGGAGTAACTTGATCATGTTTTGCCAGATGCTCTAGCAGTGAGTCATCAGAATAGAGGTTCATGTGTCGGTCGTGGTTAATTGTGCGTTTAAACACTGAGGTTACCCAACGATTGTACATAATTAGATATATCATAAAAAGGAATATGCCGACTCGGCACAAGTCACACAAGCATTCTTCTCTGGTTCCCCGACGCGGCGCGCAGGGTTGGGGGGGTTAATTCACTATGATCGACAGCGCAGTGGGGACGGAAAAAAAGACCCTGGAAACCAGCAGAATGGGGGATGACACTTGACAACGATGCGCGAGTCGGAACGCACTAATTGGCAATAACGGGTTGGTTTGCTGGGCATGATGGGAGATAACCCCACGCTAGGAAATGAGCTGGAAAGCTTCAAGTGGAGATGGGGGGCAAATAAGCTCCAGGGGACGAGAGGGGCTCTAGCTGGGTTTGGAGTAGGGCAGATGGAGGCAGATGGAGGTTGGCTCGCCTAAGCGGCGGGGAGGAATGCGATCATGATGTGCCCCTGCAGCTTCCCCTGCCTATCCAAAGTACAGCTGGCAGCCAGGTAAAAGCTACTACTAGTAACTAACTATACAGGTACGTCGTTGGGTACTTCTGGACTAACTACTAAGTAAGTACTATCTTCGGCCGTAAGTTAAGATGACATACAGTACATTCTATGGATCCCCCGAATATTTCCTCCTACTTGGAGAATTTCTCCTAGGGCTGGCTGGTGGGGACAATGGGAAAGAAATGACCAGGGAAAGCCATGGCTAAAAAACTGAGGCATGCACAAAATGAAACAAATGTCCGATAGGAACACTTTTGACGTAGTGATTGTCTTTCCGCGGATGACAGAAGTACCAGCCAACGGTAACACAGGCTTTTTGGGTGGAATTCTTAACCAAGAGAAAGCAGATTGAGATGGGCGGCTGCTCCTCATGCGTCTTTATTTATTCTGGGCCCAATGGCACCGATGGGTTCTAGTCTGATTTTTTGGGGGGTGTTAATTAATCCTTTTTGTCCAGTATTGGATTCAAGATGATTGATCTTCGCTTTGTTGGCAGTCCAGACCGTGTCCATTCTTACTCCATGCGTGAGAAACGAGGGGAATCATAAGGTTACTACGCATACATACGAGAATTGGTAGCACAATTAATTAATTCAGCGAACCGGATTGAGGGAGCTTCCAGGTAACAGTAGCAACTATAGTTTTTCCAATACTAGGCAGATGCGATCCTGGCTTTTCCCCCCACCAACCAAAGTTAGTGACTATCTTCTGGCGCTGCAGATGAAAATCAAAAGGGATGTATCATGGAGTAGTAATTGATGAACGGAGTCTCCCGTATTGTAGATGGAAAAGATATTTCCAAAAATTGGAGATGTTTTACAAGCAGAACAAACCAGAAGAATGATAAATAGGTCGATTGAATCAAAGATCGATAGATAATTGGAAAGAAAAAAAAAAAAAGTTCGTTACTTATCCATCATTTTCAACCATCCAACCACTTTCCAGGCCGATCCCCGATTCGCCCTGGAACACCCGCCAATCCGTTGCTCCACCGCAACGTCAGAGCTGGACCTTTCAGTTAGTTAGTTCTTACTGCTGCTCTGCTCATCTTCCATCTCAATTCTTCACTGTCGCATTTTACTTGAACCAGTTGTTCACCCATCCCTCTATCCCTCTCCAGCTAGTAGCTGTTTATTCAGCTTCGGTCGGTCATCGACCTGCCCTCACACACACACTCTACTTCAGTTCCCTTAAGGGTCCGAACAGCTATCGCTTCTCCGATCGCTGCCTCTTCCACTCACCCCTCTCAGCTGGATTTCCCTTTCCCGCATTGTTTCTTATCCGCAACCCGACTTGCTTCTCGTTTCCCACACATTTCACTTCCCTTCTTTGTGTGCGGGCGCTCGGTCTGCCGTCATTTTTCCTTCTTATCAATCGCCCCTAGAGCTGAATTAGATTCAATCCTTTCCCCCTCTCCATTCACAGTCTTGTCGCGTCCCCATCGGCCGGGCTAAGAAAATGTCATGGCAGCTGCCCCGCTAGAGAGCTCTAGCACCCCGCCTGAAACGACCTCCTCGATTGATTCGACGCGTCCCCTCGGTCATCCCATGGAAGAGTCGGATCCTCAATCCACCCGGAAACGCCCTCGTCTCGACAGTGGGAGTGGTACCTGCGAGTCTAGGTCCATTTCCGACGAAACCGCCGCTACTCGATTCCCCAACGACATCCCGGATGCTCCTGCCACAACGGGCCAGGACGCTTCTCCCTCCTCTCGCCCGGCCAGCCGAGTGGTCATAAAGCTGAAGTCTCCTGTGCCCGACAACATGACGTCTGAGCCTGGTGACTCCCCGGTCGAGCATCCAAGCCGTGATCTTCCCACTCAGTCCGCAGCAGGCGGGACCGGCCTCGACGCTTCCACCGCCATATCGCTATCATCTTCACCCACACAGAGCCCGGAGATAGAGGTGGCGGACCTGGAAGATATGGATCAGGATCCCAATACCTCCAGTTGGAAGTCGTTGGGGGAGGCGATGCGTGAACCGGAAACCCCAGAGGTAGTGCAGCTGCATGACCAGCCGCCGCTGGTGGAGACGTTCCCGAGACTGTTCATGGGAAATGAGTTGCGGGAAAATTTGGAGGAGATATGTACGATGATTGAGAAAGGTAAAGCGCTTCTTCGATGGCCTTATGCTGGCTTTTGCCGTGCCGATTCTGACAGTTATTCCATAGGCTCCCAACATGATACCCCGGTGTTTGTTGCCGTGAAAGCTTGGTTCGATGACGTCGCAAACAATCTAGATCAGTTGACTTATGAAGTTTTGGCGGAGGACCGGGACTTCTGGGAGGAGCTACCCAGCGTTGTGGATAGCTTGTTGCGCAGAGTGTGAGTGACTTCTACGTGTTTTGGCCTTGGAGAAACTCTATCGAGTTTGCCGATCAACCCCGCAAATCCCAAGTACTAACAGATTCTTAGCGTGGAGCTCCTGCCGGATGAGGGGCGGGGGGTATGGGCTTGTCTAGAAGAGTTCTTCCTCGATTTCGCTCACTTGGCAGTCCATGTCATTGACCTAGATACCATCATCCTGACCCAGGCTGTGGATGACGCAGAGGCCCAGATATCAGACCCGTTATCGAAACCCTACCTGGTGTCACTGGGTTGGATTGTGCAGCTAGGCAATATTCCCTTTTTCCGCACCATGGAGAATATACACGGATCGGACGTAGCGAATCTGGTCGCTCGTACAAACGATCAGGTCGCTGCTGCTTTAGATATTATCCAACACTTGTCCGATCATGCGGCCTGCATTCTGAATCTGATTACCCGCTGGTCTCAACTTTCAACGTCTCTGATTGCCATAGTTAATATTGTGCATAACCTGATAGAATCAGGGAACGAACGGCGCCGGTATCACGCCGATGATGCTTTAATAAATTCCTCCATTTGCTCTCGCACCATGAGGCGTGCTTACCCATTGATCCGCGCCGCAGATGAGAAATACCAGTTTCACATAACCAAGAAGTCTCCTTGGGTATCAAGTGAGACGAGCGACTCCATGCTACGCCACATTGCTTTCTCCTATACCACGCTATGCAATCGTGATTCAGAGCTTGCTTCACAAATCGCGGAGGATCTCGCGATAGAGCTTTCAGAAGATGTAACCCCTGAGGACCGTTCCTCTATCATTTTCTATGGTTGGAAGTTTGGCGTCCTGAAGAAGCACATCATGGATGGACGAATGGAGCTGCGTGTTTTTGGTGTCGAGACAATGCAGGCAGAACTCGTCCATATCTGGAGGCAACATATCCACAGGAATACCGAAAGCACCATTCACCCTGTGGTTGATTATCTCGTGGGATTCCTGCGACAAAATCGGATCGTCGAGTATATTGTGGGTATTGATTCTCACCCTCAGCTCATCAGCAGAAGTGGAAACATTGTCGGGTTTCTGGTCGTCACAGCCACGTATACCGATGCGGACACAGACACGATATGGGAGACAGTAACAGAAAGCCCGGATCCTCGAACCGTATCCGAGGTCTTAGGCATGTTGAGCAAGACTTTCCAGATGCATACCTCGAATTCGCCTGCTTTGATCTACGTGTGCTCCAAGCTGCTAGATCTTCCGTTGGCACGCTTTGACGCACGAATGGTAGATTTCTGTGAACAGCTTCTCCACCAGGTGAGAGAGAAGTGCAGCGATAGAAGTCACCGTGAGACCCAGGACCGCATTCATGTGGATGCAATTCCCCTTCGTCTGTGCGTGCGTTTGATCCGTGAGAGCGCTGGTGCCAATGACTTCCCTGTCGAGCACAAGGCCCTTCTCCAGAAGTTCGCAGCCGCCCAGCTGAAATCTTTTATGGACATCGGCCTGAGTGAGGTTGACAAAATGGAGATATATGAGCAATGTCTCAAAGACATCGCTGAGATGAATCAGTTCACCGTGGGCAGCATCCAGGCCTTGAACGCCCTTCTTCCCAGCAATGATTCTTTGGAACTTCGCAAGCTTGCCGAGGAATTCGACCTGACTCGCTTAGTGATTACGGAGTTGGCTCATACTGTGGACATGAACCAGACCGACTTTACTGATCCGTTTTCTCTGACCGGTTTCTCGTCAAGGGTCCATATGCTGGCCCGGATCATTGATATGGTTCCGGACTCAATAACTCCGGATCTCGGTGATCTGCTTTGGCGTAGAGTCTTTATGTCGAAGTCTCTTGCCCAACAGGGCAGACGCGCCCTCTGGGACATGCTTTGCGCAACTGCCCGGTATAGCGCTCAAGCCAACTCACTCGTTGAGCGCTGTATTCAAGTCTACCTACCCGAGCTCTCGCCCGCTGAAGACTATCTTCCC